GGTGACCCGCTACAAAGCTTGCTGTCTAATCCGCTAATAGACACTGTATAGATATCCAGCAGGGGAAGTATTCAGTGGGTCAGCCATATCTGACCCTCGGACTTGTTAGTCCCCTATTTTGAAATGGAGCCTTAAAGTTATCTTTCTGTCTACTACCTATTGTGAAAAAAACTAGTTTGAAAAAAAAAAGCACCATTACGCAATATCAATTTCATTAAAACCCTCCGGTAATTTTCCTTTAATTCTGTCCGCATGCCTCTTAACTTTAATTTACATAAACCAGTGGTCTACTGACCACTGGCTGGGATGTTTCCAACATGGCCTGTAAAACCAGTCCTCCTGACCTACAGGGCTACTGACACTGGTGACATACACTCTAATCAGCAAAACAGGTAGATCTGAACCTAAATACTGCATGACCTACAGTTGTATAATTGGCGGCAAATCTCTCTCTCTCTTTCTCTCTCTCTCTCTTTGTAATACTCCTTGCATGTAGTGATTTCAGTGCAAAATAAACATAAACTGATGTCTAGCATAACCGAGCTATTTCGAACAATAAAAATTGTTTCGTTTATAACTTTTTAGTTGTGTAACACTTCACAGTTAGGTCAATAACCAAACTTGAATAATTTCCAGCTGGTAGAAGATCCAGCATGGCAAATACTCCCAGGTCCCTCGGCCAAGACGGCCCCTGATGAAATGAAAGCATCCCTAACACTGTGTAGACTGAGTGACATCAATTGTTATTCATACTACTGCAAAATGTTTAAAGCATGAGACGTCTGCTTGCTTGTTCATTGTGTATACAGTGAAACTTTTCTGCTGTGCCATCACTTGTATAAAAAGAACTGACATAACTTGGAAAAGAAATAAATGTAAATGCTTCTTGCTCCCCCCCCTTCCCAGTGCAATTCAAACCAGATTAAACTTGGATGAGTGATGAATTTAATTAGGACTTGAGCTATGCAAATATATCAATCAGAACTTAAGTGGGTTTCAAATCCTTTTATCCATCCTCTTATTGCTTTTATTAAAATTTAAAGATTATCTATGGTATTCTGTTAAAGAGGACGGTCAAAGATAAGAAAATCACTGATTTATCACTGGTCACTTTAAGCTTGAGAACAGGTCCATGTTAAACCTGTTGTGAACGCAACTATAAAACCTATAAATTACCTATATCTATCAAGAAATCACGATTACCTATATTTCCCAAGATATCTACGTATTTCATATTTGTTAATCCAGGGTTTCCATGGCAACCAGACCATCAAGCAGACAATCGATATCGAGTGACGTGGACAATGTAAAGTTGTGGTTAACAGTTTTAGATCATAATCAACAATTACTAGGGATATGCTGCTTCTGCTGACAAGCATTAATCCCTTATTAATTGTGCTCTCTCATCTATTTCAGACAAAATATTGATGTTCATATAATAATTCTACAGTTTGTAAATCTCATCTACGATGTTAACTGCTCGAAAGCATGCCAAATTAAACTCATACTTCTCAGAAAAGGGAAGTAGTAAGGCACATACGCATTTAAGTAATGGCCGAATAATTATATTTTATGGCCTTAATCACCTAAAGTATTCCCCCGGAAATCAATGCAACTCCATCAAGTCTGCTGTGCATCGTGTACCATAATTACATAATGGCATATAATGAAGACAATCCGTGACCAAATGAAGCTGTCTGCTGAATGGACTGATATGATAAGCACATGGTGTCATTTGAGACAAAAAAAATGCTGATCAAATGCTATAAAATACTTGATGTTTCATAACACCAAGATAACTGTTTTTTTTTTTTTTTCCTTTGCATCAGGCACTGATGCTTAAAATTTTTTTTTGACAAACTGCGGCCACTGCAGACAAGCCACTGTCACTGTGCTATTTTTAAATTACAATGTGCACCATTCAGCTTATCAGTTGTTCTAAAGAAAGTTAAACATTAAATAAAACTTTGTTTGATCTAGACAGACTGGTACAAAACATGCATGCTGTTTCATTTTGCCTATCAATATCATGGAGTCATTGTGGATACAAATAATAAGTAATATCAAAATCATCAATTTACTCATATCTCAATATGTCAATATCTGATACTTGCTAATCATTTTTTTTTTTCGCAATTAATAAACACCAAAATAAGCTTACCTACAGTATGTCTAACCCCTCTTAACCATCAGTATCTCCAAGGCCAAAGTCAATCAGAAACAGAACTCTGTACAACTTCAACTTAAAAGATTTTTTTCCCTGTTAGACATGCAGAAAACAGAAAACGGTCACCTCTTTCTATTACTACAAGCTGGTCATCTAGGCATTAAGAGTGGCCAAAAAATAATATAATGTGGCTGACCAACTGTCTAGCGGCTAGCTCCAGGTGTTTAACGACCTGGTCACACCCACTTGGTCATTAAATAACAGAGGTGCCAAAAAGTTCAAGCACTCTAGTAAAGTTGGATATTAGATTGGCACTATTTAATAATTTTTATTGCTATGTTCATAATTAGCAATGTGATATGACACTTCCATTTTTCATTCTCTCTTTCTTTACTTATTACATTATTCTTGGGACTTATACATTCATTTTTTACAAGTTCATTACAGGCCACACATTGGGGTCTCAAAAAGCCTTTATTTTTGATAGCTTAAATTTATGAAATAGTTACACAAGTATTAACAGATATTCAAAGGTAACCAGTTTGTGAAATGATAAGCAAAACTATACGAGTAAGGCTTGTTGATCTTTTACATAAGAAGTGAGCATTCTGTTTAGGCGATTTCCAATGATTGCGTGACTTAGGTCGTCAACAAACCCCTGACATTTTATATCCACTAGCTGTTGACCAGCAGATTATGCCAATGTAGAATGAGGCATGGCATGATTCAAAAGCAAACTTAAATAATTTCAAACTTTGTAATTTAGTATTTAAATGTCTTAGTATGAGCAAAACATTTCTGGATTGTTACTGCTTTTGTATGCAAAACAATAGTTACATAGTTATATAAAATCATGGTTTATGAGAACTTAGTATAACTTCTGTAAACACAAGGGAAAAAAAGAAAAACAATCTTTGAAATTAAATTTTTTTCTAAGAAATATTTCATTCTGACAGACATACTGAATTAACTTTTGCACTTCAAAACAATAATTTGTCAAAGTTCATTCTCTTATTCATATTTGTTGGTGTTGCATTTCGTGGTAATTTACTACATTTTTATAATGTCGTATTCAAAAATTCATTACTTTGCTGATGTAACATAAGGCACTGATCTTCACTGTTGAACTTAAAGAAATATTCTCCTTAATTAGGCATAGAAAATATACTTCATGGTTGATGCTTATATAACCATGCAATGTCAGCCTTAGGACAATGCTTAAACTAAGTTTTATCATCAAACACAACATAAAGATTTGCGTCATCTATACTGCATTAAAAATGTTTGAGAAACCAATCTTCAGTTAGTCAGAAATCAATATCACTGAAAAATGCTAAAGAATGCAAGTACATCACATTAATAAGGTGAAATAAACAGTTTACATACAGGGGCGGATTTAGGCCGTCTTCTGGGTCTTCCGGAAGACGGTCAGATTTCCAAGTTTACATTGACGAGTATCTAATTTTTTTCTGTCGGAAGACGGTCAAAAATGGTGGATGGATCAACAAAGATAATTTGGAAGACTGTCAGAAAATATCTCTGGATCCGCCCCTGACATACATTGTGAAGAACGGGTTGTTCACAAGCTTTACACTACCACTAGGACTTGTCTTTAACTGCTACAACAGCATTATATATATATAAATAAAAGGTAATACATGTTACCTGTAAATTATTACTAGTGAAAAACGAGTCATTTGGCTAAAACATAAAAAAAAGCTTGTTTGACCCCAGTTCAGCACCACATGGCGTCCATGTTGATAGAGACAGCTGACATTAGAAGGTAACGTTGGCGCCAAACTCTCTGTCCAACTCCGACACCTGTTGCACTCCACATAACTACCATCAATGAAGTGTCATAGCATCATATACGTCGGAATTCAGTCTGCTAATGGATGTTGGACATTATAGTGTTGACCTCTGCTACACTGATCAAACAACTTTAACAGGCCGATTGAAATAGATGTTCAATGGGTGTTCATGCTAATGCAACCCAGCACAAAAACAACTGTATGAATATTTGTGTAGGATTCTTCATTTTCATTAGTCTTCATTACACTCCTGTTTGCTTCAATGTACAAATGTTAGGTAATGGAATTTGGTAAAAATTGCACTGCACCATGAATAATTTTAAAACATTACTTAACATAGTATACCATATACCTCTTATTACTTCCTTCATCATGTAACTGACAGTAGATCTCAACATTTATTTATTTATTTATTTATTTATTTATTTATTTATTTATTTATTTGGAGGGGGAGAAGGCATAAAAACTTAATGTCCCTTTGATTTTAAAATGTAGTTGATAAATACATCAAAAAATATAAATGAATTTTCAATAAACATCTATCTCCATCAAATCTGCATGTAATCTGAGGTAAAACCTTCCAACCTGCGCCTAACCTTATACCCAAGATAAAACTGTGACATCATATAAAAGAGGATTCAATTCAGGCTCTTAAAACTCCAAGGTTCATATGTTGGTCAATTTAACAAGTAAAACATAATAACTAGCTAAATTCAAACAAAACTGATTAATAACAGTTCCCAATAAATTGCCATATTCACTTTGTAATAACTCAAACACAGGTCTCGGAGGTTCCAATTTAAAAGAGAATTGGATTTAAGTGAAAAAGTATGTGAGATCTTCAGTCAGATTAACTCAAAATATTAATAAATACTGAAATAAAAAAACATACTGAAATATGTGGGGTGTTTGAAATTTGTTGGTAATGACTGAAACATAATGTATACAGACATATGCTAAATAACATTGACCATTTTAACCCGATATTTTCTAGTAACTCTAACTAGTAAAGTTAATCTTACCTGTGACGCTGAAAAGGTAAGGGTTGGTTGACTGGATATTAACTGCTGCTGTGGTTACTGTTATTGGTTGGTCTTCTGCTGCAAAAAAATTAAATAATAAATGTGTCAGAAAATACATAAATTATGTTAATGACAAGTGTAATTATGGGACTTTGGTAAATCCTGTGGTAATCCCTTCAAAGCTAATTTCATAATTTACAATACATTCTCAGCACTGCAATAAACCCTTTAACCTCTATTGCAAAATGGAATTTATCATTACAGTAACACTGTTCGCAGTTGACTGGAACTTTTTAATAAAACTGTCTCTTTATATTTTCCAAAGTCAACTGAAAATAGTCATCGCCCCAAAAAAAGTATGTTTCAAAGTGAAAAGCCTATTTTTAATTCATGCTGTCAGCTAATGATATCATCGTAGTGTTAGTAACAAATAGTCACACAATAATCAAGTATTTTCCAATACAGTCAACCCGCATTTCATTCCCTCCTGCTAACTGGCTCTGGCTCTGGGCAGGACCAAACATTCAACCTAAAAAGAGGACCAGCTATAACTGGTTTACTACATTTGATTATGTCCCAAAGTCTTATTTTTGTCTAAATACCACACAAAGCTACTTATGTTTCCAGTTTAGACTTTTAAAAAGAACCTTATGTCAAGAGTTCCCTTGGAATGTGTAGGAAGACACTAAGAATTATATTATTTAATTAGAAATGCTACAAAAAAAATCAAGTCAAAGCACAGGGATGTGCTGAGCAATGCTTCATGAGCAGCAGAAAATTGTTTTTCTCAAGAAAAATTAGATTTGGCACAAAAAGTCCTAGACAGGATACCTCGGATAGACAATGTATTTGACAAACTCCACACCAGCTCTGTCAGACACTCTCAGTCTCTTACTTCCCCCCCTTCCTTTTTTTTTTTTTTTGCAAACACTGACAACGACAGTGCGAGATGGTCACCAGCATGATAATGTTATATTTAGCGACAAGCTAACTTTCCCTAATAACAAGGCATTAAGACAGAAATATATCACAAAACATACAAACAGCATGCTATTGTTTACATTATGTTTCATGCCCACAGGTTACAGACCTATTTAAAACAGCTGAAGATTTTGCTGCATAGACATATTTTTTTACAACAGAAACTGTCAGTGTTTTTGTGTGCACACATGCAATATGCATACTTTTTAGGTGCTTCTGTATCCTTTTGAATGTGTATAAAATGTGCGTTTACCTAGGCCTTGTTCGGCAATCATTATTTTTGCTGAAATGACGGCGCCTCCTTAAAATTTAGTAGTAATACAGGATTATTTGAAAAATTATGGAAGCACTTGTCAAACAAGGCCACTGGCACTACACCTAATGGAAAAGAATCCTTTGAAAAATTATTGGATCTGGATAATGAATGATCAAGATCACCACCAAAATAGAATCACTTTTTAAGTAAGCTGATTTCTGACCCATCTTGAAAACTTCATCAAAATCCTGCCATAACTTTTTAAGGGTTAAAGATTGGTAACAAACAAACAAACAAACAAGCAAACAAACAAACAAGACAAAATACATAACCTCTTTGGTGGAGGTAAAAATAAGAAAAGAAATAATCTAAATATCCCTAAACTGGCTAGGACTGACTTACCAATTTCTTGCCAAACTCCAAGATAACTTACTGCCAGATAAATAACTGTTTGACAGATGAAATAGATCTGCACAGCAGGTTGCAGCTTACCTTACAACAGAATGAGAACAGCAAAGACAGTGAATGCAAGAAAATGTTACGACACAGAATGACTTGCCCAACGACTGATTTAACCACAAACTGTTACATAATAATTGTTATATAATAATCACACGAAACTTGGGTGTTTTGAAACTTGCAGCAAAACACCCGTTAATAAATACAATGTCTGGACTTTACATAATGTGCTGGTTTTATCACTGACAAAACAGCACGACAACCAAATATAAACTTGAAGTGATATATAATTAACAAAATTCAGACCCTTTTCAGATGACTTTGATACAAATTTCATTTGATTTATTACTATTTTTACTGATAAAATGATAAATAAGTAATACACCTATATATTATACTAAAATATAATTTTGGTTTTATTTATTTATTTATTTATTTATTTAATCTGATCTGCTACCTGTCTACAGTGTGCCATGAAATTCCAAGAAAACAGAAAACATAAAATTTCATTTTTTTATTGATGGCAAAGAGTTTTTAAATTTACACTGTACCATGTTTGTTTAACAAAACCCAAACAATACAAAATAGTACTATTGAATTTTAATTTCAATACACGTCTGTATGTGCTTTTATGACTGCTTTCATATTTTTCTGGCCTTATTCTGCTGTCAGTACTGCAACTATAAGATAAATATTTAGTTACAATGCTTACAATCATAACTATATTGTAAAAGTCAAAAACATTACCAAAAAATTTTGATCATATGCTTAGAGTCATAATTTCATCGTTCTGTTTTATGATCTTGCTTCAACCAAACAACAAATTCAAAAAGATGATATTAAAATTGTAAAAAAGAAAAAAAAGGACAAATATTTAAAGGGATAACAACCATTCGTAAGATATCCATATTTCACAATAAATACATTGTGAAATATGGTTATGGATATCTTACAAATGGTTGTTATCCCTTTAAATATTGTATTGCTATGTAAATAACTCATAGAAATACAATAAATTCTATTTTACCCCCAAAACAGCAGTTAACACAATTATTTTGGAATTTCTGCTTGCCATCACATCACGTAACCTCCATAGAAGGCTACACTCTGTAATAATCTCTGAAGAGTTTATTACAAAAAACCAAACTTTTTTGAAAAAAAAAAAAAACAGGGACTAATTTTGACTGTTGGAATGGATTCATTTACCATTGGTAAGAATGGGACAATTGTCCTTTACCCCAGGAAAATTCATTTTTTGGTCAAAATGAACAGTTGTTATCCCTTAAACCTTTTAAGTCAAAGTTAGGTAACTTCAGATCCTAAAGACAAAATTACACAATAAAAAAATCACAGGCTCCAGTGAGCCTGATAGCCAGCATGCATAAACAGCAGAACTTTGACAGGTGCTTTCAGCTTGCAAAAATTATGATGTAATATACACTCTAATACCATTTTCCCCGATGTTACCTTAATTGTAGACATGAAAGCTCAAGCATGCTAAGCATATCACCAACAACAGTCATCCGTTCAGTTGCATAAAATATTGTTCCACAATGGCTTCCATTCTATTTGACAACACGTTATTTTAATTTCCCTTCCTCTTGCCTTCAAAGTTATTCGATAAGTTAACTGACCAATCATCACAGCCCAACGACCAATTAGATACTGAAAAACGGTGTCAGCAGCAGAAAAATCGGCACTTCAAACACCTCACAGCAAGCTTTTCAAACCTTGCTGTTGTATGGCTCACTCTCATGTTTACTACTTGTATCGGGCTGCTCCATTACACCAAACTTTAAAAAAATCAAAACACACTATTTTAATCTACTCCATACAAAAGCCAAGTCTCTTCAAGTTTCTTCTTTATTCATTGGCTATATATTTTGAATTCTATCTTGGAACCCTTATGAAAAAACACTGCTATTCACCTAATTTACAGAGCAAAATCTGCTGTCTTATATTCTTGACATTTTCAGATGATCTTTAACAAATTGCAGAGTTGCCAACTGTATATATATTCTATGTGTTATTTAGGACAGACTGCCATTGTTGAAAATTGTTATTCTATTGTCAATAATGTGTTAGGCAACAGATCCACATATTTTGAGTAGTTACGTTGATTTCTTCATCATTTCTGAAACAACGTAGAAGATAGCATACAGCAATATTTCATGGCTATTGGTCTTATTTTCTAATTTCTCTAGAGATCAATGATCTTGGCAACCTTAAAATTGCGCTCACCTGTATTGAAAACAACTTGGGAGGCACTGCTATTCAGACTGTGAGAAAGAACGCAATCACTGGCTGCTGCATTGGTAGTTTTACAGGAAAAATTTTCAGAAATGTGTTAGGTGAGATGAGTAATAAAATAAAACCATAGAAATCATTTAGAGGCCTGAAATGAGACCTTTGGCACTGATTGACATCAAATGAGGCTAGAAAACTTACAAGAGCCCATGCAAGATGGGGTTGAATCCAGGTGAATCTCATAGGTTTAGGTTTGTTGTTTTAAAAAGCAATACAAAAGAGACCAACCAAGCATTCCAGCTCGACAGAGAGAGAGAAAACTCAAACTCTTTCTCCCCTCTACACCGTAACTGGTATAAGAAGGACAAAAAAAATAAATAGAGAGAGAGAGAAATACATGGCAAATCCATATTGCTGTGTAAAACACTGCCATTCAACAAAACAACCAGAAAAATATCTGGAGAAATTATGTCAGCTTTTATTGTGATATATGATATCTCATTTCAGAATATCAGTATCTGATGATGTCTTATTTTGAAATTTTTTTATGTTTCTGTTTTCTCTCATGAGACAGCCATTTAATAATATTATTTTCAAGTAAAACACATATATTTATCACTGCCAGTTATCTTAAAATGAAGACACATTTGACATTCACCTTTTTCAAACAAGAAACCACTGTTTTCCACACTCCTTTAATGAAAAAATTAAGAACTAGAACTATTTGTTTCTTCAAAATTTAACCCTTTGGGCCATGCAAGCTATCTAAGATTAAAAGATTATGTTAATGTCAGATAACTTTAAAATATAACTTATCATTTAAATGTCCTTAGATACCTGATTATTTCTTACCTCAGTTATTTAACCTTAAACTTCTCTTATTGTTTAACATTTTTAATAGTCTTCTGTTTTATTGAACAATGCAACTGCATTTAGTTGCAAAATAATCATGGTTGTGAAGTTAAAAAACACTTTCATAAAAAATAAAAATGTATAATATAGGAACGCAATGTTAAAATTTTCACTATGTATGTATGTATGTATGTATGTATGTATGTATGTGCATATGCATGTGCACGCATGCTTGCAAGGGTGCATCTTTGTGTTCTTGCGAATATCAAAAGGTACAAGTGAA